GCTTTGCAAGTGGATGATGACTTATGCCAGGGGCTGTGCAGAGTGTTCTAGAAAATAATTCCAATTTGCCTGTGCAAGATGAATTCATCAAAGGGGACTCGTAGGACTTTGCTTTAAGCTGAGATGGTGTCTGAAATAAAACAGTCCAGTCTCTTTTCACTTCTTCTGTTGCAAATTTTGGATGTGTTTCCATAGAAATTAAAGATTTTCGCACAGGTGTGAGAAAAACTCAGCTCCCAGTTTTTTAGATGGACTGACAGAGCCATTACCCCTTTTCCTGGAGTTCTTCTGGGCCAGCTGGGAAGGTGTGTTTGCTCTGCAGCAGGGAGGGGAAATCAGAGCCTTGCACAGGCAGGAGACCCCTCAGGAGGAGGCAAAGGGAGCCCTCGAGGCTCTTCCACAGGCAGGGGCAGCTCCAGCAGGGATTTTTCCCCAGCTCTGCTCTCCAGTGTGGTTTGTGAAGATTCCCCACGGGTCAGACTGGGGGGACACACTGGCAGCCAACATGTGCTGTGAAGGCAGGAATAGAAAGCAAATACTTCCCGTAATCACACGTCCCAAAATGACAGGGTAAAACGAGTGCTTTGTGCTTCCACCAGAGCAGCGAAAAATGGGAAGATGGAAAGCCTGGATTCCTGCCCAATGGAACCAAAATTGTAAGAAAAAGAAAAATAAAACAAATGCTCCATACGCTCCCTGGCAGTGACACTGCAGTGTGGTGGGTTTTCTCTCTTTTGAATGCCTGCAGGAGACAAGCAGTAAATCTTCTTACAGCTCCGTGGCACAGCTTTATTTTTAGCTTTTTTTTATTATCGGGACAACCCTCCCCAGCTTTCAATCTGTACCTGAATATATTTATTCCTTTAATCCTCGTGAAAGTGCAGTCCTTACAGAGACCTCTAATACCTTATTAATCACTTCTGGACCGCGTCACAAAGAGGCTTTGGGAAGCCAAGTGCTCTGGCCACCCGTCGACGTGCTCCTGGAGGCTTAAAGGATGTGCATGAAGGGCCCCTTTCCCACATGGAAGATGCCTCCTTTGTGCATTTTTAAATTTGAACTGGGGATCTGAAAGAAATCTCAAGGCAGCCAGAACACCTTCTCTCCTCAGCCTGTTCTTAGAGAGACTCAGGCCCGTGAGTCGTGAAGGCACCACGTGGAGAATTCCAAGTTCAGTTCCCGAGTTCTGGAATTTTGTGGTCTTGGAAGCCTCCAGAAGTAGCTTTTGAATCCTTGGCACTTCTGAAACACCATATACAGAGCTGTGGGCACAGCAGGGCCAAGGATGAGGAGGGAACAGAAGCCTTCGCTCAGCCCAGTAGGGAAAAGAAAGTGAATTCCCTCAGGAGATGTATTTGGGTAGATGTTCAGGCACCAGGAATCATATCTGGGAGCACTCCCACACCTTAAAATGTCAGAATTTCTTCTGGGCCCATTTTCTGTTGTGGTTGCAGGAAGAGTTGCACGTTCGGGTGCCCGGCCTGGACCTGCTGGTTCTGCAGAGCACTGGGCATGGTTTGTCTTTCTGAGAGGGGGAGAGGGTCAGAAATTCTTTCCACTGGTCTCATGGTCTGTTACTGTAATACTTAATTGAAGTAGAAAATTTGATCTGACATGTCAAATGTGGCCCTGGTTGGCTGGAGGCCAAACTGAGCCGCCTAATTTGGGTTTGCCTTAAAATGGCTGACATTATTCACAGGCCCCAATCTCCCTCTGCAGTGGACTCCTGACATCTTTTTTTAGCAGCTTTGTAAATCCCTCTGTATCTGTTTTTCCTTGAAACTTGTTTGCTTCAGAAAGCAGCAGTCCCAAAGCTTAAGGAAACGTTTCTGGGCCCATTTGTGTCCTGAAGTTTCTCGTGGCCGTGGAGTGGAGAAGATGTGTATTCACAAGTGGGTGTGCCCAGCACGGGGCCCATTTGACAGCAGATTGTTAAGTTGCCTCCAATGGAAGAAAAAAAATGAACAGGAAATCAGGAAATACTTATTTCAGTCTCCCAGAGTTTGTGTTCAAGGGTTTCATAAATCATGTGTGAAGATGGCAAAAAAGTTACATCAGATTTTCAGTATTTCTTTTGTAACTCTGTGTGTTTCGTTATTTGGCAAAGAGAAGAAATGGAATCAAATCATCCCCATTTGAGCCAGTACCAAGGTTTGTTGGCTGCTGGGGCCAGAGGAGTGTTGGAGTGGGGTATCTTGGTGCCTGGAATCTGTCCTGGAGTGGGATGTAATGGCTGAGTCACCTGGAGAGGAGCTTTTGTGTTCAGTGACTCGTCTTGTTCCACATCCGAGTATCTTCCTGTAGTTGAGAGCAAATTCCCTCCTGCCTCCTCCAGAGTCAGAGCCTGCAAAATTGGAATCCAGTGGCTCCGGGCTGTGGCCAGAAGGGTGGTTCTGGGTCAGGAGTTTCAGGGAGACTAAAATCAACATGCAGTGACTCGGTATTTCACAGACCAGGGGGGAAGCTGCTGGAATTATTACATTTGTACACTGCTAAGGTGGGGTTTTTGAAGCAGCTCCCAAGAGGCAGCTCCTGCCTCAGCCAGCAGCTGATCCTTGTGAGCACAACGGGACAGTGGGTGGAGAGACACCAGTGGAGGTGTCACAGCAGCTCCAAACCCACCTTGGCAGCAGCCCTTTTTTGGGCTGTACCCATCAGGCAGCTCTGGTTTGTCAGGATACAGGAGTCCCGTGGTGGGAGATGACTTGAAGTTAGAAAGCCCTGCAGGCCCTGCTTAGCCCCTCCTTTTCTCTCCCATTTCCATGTCTCTGGGGGACCTGTTTCCCCTGTGCACACACCTCCTTCACTGCTTTCTCCTGAGCTGCAGCTCCTCTTTCCAGATCAATACGGGCTCCTGGCAACGAGGTTAAGGATCACTTCCCAGGTCTGCTGACAGGTTTTGTGCTCAGAGCCCTCCTGGCCCTTGATGTCAGCCTGGATTTAGAGAGGAAGGAAGGGGGGGAGTGGAGAAAGCTGGAGATGAGCAAAGGAGATCGTTCTGTTGGAACATCTCCCCTGCAGCCTCTCGGGAATGGACTCTTGCTCCTGGAGATGGGTGTCCCGTGTGCCGTGGTGCCCAGAGCGGGGCTGGCCCCAGTGTGTGGAGCAGGGCTGGCCCCAGTGTCCGGGTGGGAATGGTCCCCTGGCTGTCCCACGCCGGCCGGCACAGAATGTCCTGCGGGCGGATGGCCGGGGGAGGGACGGGCTCCATGCTGAGTCCTGCCACCTGTTGCCTTTTCCATTCCAAGCCCCCCTTCCTCCCCACCCTCCACCCCGACTCCCCTCCCCACACAGCTCAGCATCCCCAGTGGATAGGGCTGGGATCAGTGGGCACTTGCCAAATACCTTTCTCGTGCTGTCACTGATTCTGCACAGGCAGCATCTCGGAGCAGGAACAAACCTCCTCCAGTGCATTGTCCTGCTCTGCAGAAAGTGTTCCAGAGTGGGAATGCCTTTTCCTAGCTGGGTCTGAGCAGCCCTGGGGAAGCCTGAGGCCGTGCCCAAAGAATCCACTGCAAATCCCTTGGAGTTGGCATCTGGCTCTGGCACGGGCTGGTTGTAACTGGGGGTCACACCCCCCCTCCCTGTGGGATCCTTGCTCATCTGCTCTGCCCTGAGTGCCAGGGAATGTTGTGCTGAGCCCTCTGGGCACGGTGTGATGACGTTCCTGGGCACGCTGGGCAGGGTGGGTGTGTGCCAGGGGGACTGGCAGGAGCTGGGCAGCCACGGCTGCAGCCACAGCTCAGGCTCCTGCCCTGCTCCTGTGGGAGCTGCAGGCTGGGCACGGACTTGGGGCTGTGATTTCCTCCTGATCAAGGTGTGCAAAGGGGTGGGATGGCTGGAGTTACAGAGCTGCTGGGTTGGGACTCTGCAGAAGGGCCCTTGGACAGTTCCTCAGGTACAAGGTTCAATAATCCCCTGGAGAAGCAGCCCCCGAGTTCCCAGGTGAAGGTGCCTGGAGGGGACTGATTTTCAGAACACAGGACGTTGGCAAATGAGACCCTTTCCATCACTGGCCAGGAGACCTGGGTTTGGAGCACTTCAGGCTCCCAGGATGTTGCCATCCCTGTGCTTTACACTCACCTGTATCAATGCTTGTTTGCCCACAGAAACCACAGAGGGGTGTAAGGAAGAAAAAAAATAATGCAAAAATGAGGCTTTAGTAGTTCCTGCAGCTTGGTTCTGCCACCTCACCGGGAGCCAGGGCAGGGGAATGTGGAAAGGTGGAGAGTTTGGAGCTGCAAAAAGACAGAAGGAGGGACAGAAATGGAGGTGGAACGTTTCTTTTATTATATCTGGTCATGATGCAGCACAGGGTCCAGAACCTTCTGCCTCCCTGCCCGTGGAGGTGTTTGTGCTGGCAGGGCTTCCAGCTGGGATCCCCAGAGCACCAGTTAAACCAGTAGTTACCAATTTTTTTGCAAGCCACGCTGGGACTATAGGAATTTTATTCCTTCACAGTGTTGAAGGAAAGGGGGTTTGCTTGCCAAAGGGCTTTCTTGTGCTTGAGGATGATTTATGGGCCAAGCTGAGCCACTTGTGGAAAAGGCAAAGCAGCTCTTGGCAGCACCCCCAGAATCCACTGCAGCTGTGGGGTAGTGAAGTCATCGGCATAACAACCACTGCAAACAGAATAACAAAGTCTGGTCTGTTCTCGTTTAAAATAATCTTTCCAGTTCAGCAACCACATTAAACTTACCTTTCTGCACACAGAAATCATAAAGGGCCGACAGTTGTGTGCAGTGTCTCCCTCAGGTCACTGCCCCTGTCTCCTGCACCCTCCACACTGCCCTGGAGGATCCCGAGGGACGGGATGAGCTCTGTTATGTCACAGCTGGTGTCTGCCCCTTGTTTTCACTCCTTTGTTTGGCCTTGCAGGACAACACCCAAGGTTTCTTCCTTTTAAATACAAATTTGGCTTTTGCCTTATAACCTGTTTCTGAGCTGATTGCAAAGTGAGGAATTCTGACTTTGGGTTTTCCTGCCTGTCTTTGTTTCAGGTCTCTTCAGATCCTCCTGCTTCCAAAAAGCCCAAAACAGATGACTCTGCTTCCCAATCTCCAGCTTCTTCTGAGAAGGAGAAACAGTCCAGTTGGTTACGGTCCTTATCCAGTTCATCCAACAAGGTGATTGTTGAATATTTTGTAATTGAAAGATCAAATTAGCACATGGCATCACTGCATGGAGTGGGGAAATGAGGAGAAAACAAGAGAACCAACCTGCCCAGGTTTTCTAAATTAGCACCATTTCCATCCTTCTCCTGGTCAGCGTTGAGCTGCACAGTTCCCCCCGTGTCCCTGCCACCCTCCAGTGCCCACTGACCCGGACTGGGACAGGGAAGTGAGGAATTCCCTCCTGCCTTTGAGGTGCAGGAATCCTACAGGACTCAGGAGCTGTTTGTGGTCCCTGTGACCTGCACAGAACTCGTTAGCCCAGAACACACGTGAGGTTTTCCTGGCGGGAGCAGGGCCTGGCCGTGGGGGTGGTTGTGGGGACGGTGGGGTGGCCCTGGGGACCTGAGTGTGGCCCTGGGGACCGGGATGTGGCCCTGGGGATGGCGGGGTGGCCCTGGGTGTCCCCGTGCTGTGACATGAAGGACTGTGGGTGTCACTCCTGTCCCCAGAGCATCGGGTGTGTGCACCCCCGGCAGCGGCTCTCGGCGTTCCGGCCCTGGTCCCCCGCGGTGTCGGCCGGCGAGAAGGAGCTCTCGGGCCACCTCCCCGCCCTCATCCGGGACAGGTAAGGACACATGGAGGGGCAGCTTCCTTCTGGGTGGATGGCTTTGTCCCTCCCTCACTGCACCACCATCAGTGGTGGGATCGGCGGAAGGGAAACCAGAAGCGTTGGTGGTCTGTGTGTTCATTAAATGGGTTTTCTGGGGTGAAACCTGCTGTGAAAATGGGAAGGAAAGGCTGTGGGGAAGGGATGGTCCCTCTGGGGACAGTCACTGAAGTTCTTGGGCTTTCATTTAAGGGCAGTGGAGTCACTGTCTCAGGCAGGTGGTCAGGGAGCATCCATCCATTCCCATCCATTCCATGGGCCCTGCAGCAGCTCCCTGACACAGGCTGTGTTCCCAGCACAGCTCCATCCTTAGCAGGTTCAGGAGGAATTTTAACACATAACTGAAGGCACGTGGTGTCGGAGATGCTGGATGGAAGATACAAAGTCTTGGCTTTTCCTTTTGCAAAATCCTACATATTTGATGTTACAGTACTGCTGCTCTTTACCACAGGTGTGTTGGTTGTTCCACCTCTGGTTTACACATGGGCACTTGGGTGCTGTGTCCAAATCACAGACACACCAAAGACTCTCTGGCACTCCATGGCTTTCCTTCGGGAAGTGCTGGTTTGAGCTCCCAGAACGTTTGTGGATGGACACAAGTGCAGTGTGCAGCTGGGCAAAGCAACAGTGCAGGAGCGGGAGGGGACGGTGCTGTGACTTGCAGGCTCTGGGAGGTCCCATCCCTTTCGTGCCCTTGGGATACGTGGCACTGGGAATGTGATCCCTTCCCAGCTGGGTGCTCGGAGTGTCCCTCATCTCCAGGTTTAATGAGAGCAAACACTGACAAGTGCAGGTTCTCAGCTGGTGTGAATCAGGGCTGGAGATACAGCAGGTTCTCAGCTGGTGTGAATCAGGGCTGGAGATACAGCAGGTTCTCAGCTGGTGTGGATCAGTGAACTCACCGTCATTCCAGTGCCACACATGGCCTGGGAAGCATTCTAAAACCGAGAATGTGACCCTCTTCTCCTTCCTTTTGCCTCCCGCTCTGAACCAGCTTCTACTCCTACAAGAGCTTCGAGAGCGCCGTGGCCCCCAACGTGGCCCTGGCCCCCCCAGCCCAGCAGAAGATCGTGAGCAACCCCCCCTGTGCCACCGTGGTGTCCCGGGGCAGCGACTCCCTGAGCTCTGCCCAGCCCAGGAAAAGGAAACACGTGGAACACGTGGCTGCTCCCGAGGCCACGGCCCCGGCCCCCGAGGAGGACAAGGAGTCGGAAGCAGAAATTGAAGTAGAAACCAGGGAAGAATGTGAGTGGTGGTCGTACCTGCCTTTGTTTTGCTGTCTTTGGGCTGGATCTTTCACTCTGCAGCTTTTTGGGTGTTCAAATGGAATTCTGGAAGCCCGAAGCCTCAACGGTGACATGAATTGCATGGTCACAATTCAGACAAATTACGAGTTGGTCCCTTGAGTCAGGGCTGCTTTGTGTCATATTTCAGGTATCTCAGTATAAAACGAGCCAGGTTTTATTTTCTTTCTTTTTTTTTTTTTTAATTGAATATTGATAGTGTCTGTATAAAAGGGCCTCAGCATCTTTTGAGCTATATAATATATATATACATAAAATATATATCTCAGAATATGCTGAGTGGGAATGGACCCACAAGAATCATCGAGTCCAACTCTTAAATATGAGTTATGTATGAGCTGTCTATAACACATGTATTGATTTTAGACATTTTTAAATGAATGTTTCAATGTTTCTGTTTTCCAGTCACCTCCTCCTTATCCTCGCTCTCCTCCCCATCCTTCACTTCATCCAGCTCTGCCAAGGACATGAGCTCCCCTGGGATGCAGCCCCCCGTGCCCGTCAACAGCTCCTACGAGGTGGCAGCACACCCTGACTCCCACAGCAGCGGCTTGGAAGCTGAGCTGGAGCACCTCAGGCAGGCCCTGGACAGTGGCCTGGACACAAAAGAAGCCAAAGAGAAATTCCTGCACGAGGTGGTGAAGATGAGGGTGAAGCAGGAGGAGAAGCTGAACGCGGCCCTGCAGGCCAAGCGCAGCCTGCACCAGGTACTGCCACCCCTCCTGCCCTGCCCTGCCCTGCCCTGCTCGGGGGCTCCTCAGGGGCACTGGGGACCCTCCTGGGAAAAGGGAATTGCCTCACTTATCCCAAATAGCAACAGCCTTTGCCAGGGCTCTGTTTGTAAATCCAGCCAGGAAACCAAAGCACAGGGACCATTCCTCCACCTTTAAGCTTTCCACCTGTTTTTCCTTGGGTTATAAGTCCATGGTTACCAAAATCAACATCTTTTCATTACTTGAAAAAGTCTCCTAGTCCAGCAGAGTTTATTTTGTTTTCATCTCACTGAACAGGAAACATTTCTGGAGGCTTTAGCTGGAGTTTTAAAAGCTTTGTGAAAACCCTGCCATGTCCCAGCTGAGGGAGGGTGTTCCTGGGGCTTGGCCACAGCTGAACTGAGGTCTTTGTCAGGCATCCCACTGGCTTCAGTCAGGGAAGCAGCTCCTTATTTCTGGAAATCCTGGACACAGGGGTTGTATCAGAGTGATCAGACAGAGCTGCAGGTCAGTGCTGGCCATGAGCTGAGCCCAGTGGTGGCTGAACTGGTTTTTTTGGGGGCTGGGACAGAAGCAGTGCAGAGAAATAGAAGATACAACCAAGGCAGGAGATTTGTGTGTCCTCTCTGAGTATTCTGTGGAGCTGTTCCCAAGCTGGGACAAATCCATGGGATGGTGCAGATGGAGCATGGGAGACACAAAACCAGCACTGGGGCTCTTTGGCTTGTTCTTAGTTAGCAAATCACTTCATTCCCTGGTGTTTCAGTAAATCTGTGCTTTATTTTATGTATCTAAAAGTAAACTTTTATAAATGATATATATTTAAAGCTAATATTTAAATATCTAAACTAAATAGTGGGTACTTAAAGCAGGAGTTACAGGAAGCAGTTGCTGCAGCAGAACTGAGTGGTGAGGTGTTAAGTGTCTCTCCCCATGTCAGGGGTGTCTGGGCACCGTTTTCCCTTTGGGAAGCTCTGGGTTCCCAGTCCCACACACAGAAGGTCCATGTGTGTGTGTTTCCAGGCTCTGTGTGCCCTTCCAGAGGCAGGGCCATGCTAACAATGGCCTGGCTGGGAAGTGAGATTGTCAGAGTGCATTTCCCATGCCCTGCCTGCACTGTTACTGCACAGAAACCAGGGCTGGACAGGGAGGAAATGCTGCTGCTGAGGGAAAAAAGATCCTCAGTTTCTAATTTAACCATTTAGGAGACAGACCTGTGAGCCACAGCTCTGTGCTCATGATGAACGTGGACTTCAACAGCTTAGGAGCTGCTTCCTGTGTACCTTGAGGTTCCTTATCCCTCTCCCATGGATTTAGGTTCCAAGGCAGCAGCTCCTATTCAGATCCTGGATGGTGGGAGGGGCAGTGCCCAGGGCAGTGCCCAGGTTCAGTTCAGCTCCAGGGAGCCTGGAGTTCTCCAGCTGTTGTGACAGGGCAGTCCATGGGCTGGTTACCAGGAGACTTGGGGCTCACACCAGTCACCCACAGCACCCAGGGTTAGAAAACACACAGAGTTTGTGTTTTGAACTTGCCTTAAGCGGATTTTTGGGGGATTTGGTCCAATGGAGCTGCTGCTGGTTGTGAACTTCCCTCTTGAGCTTTGCTGGACACAAAGGACACTCACAACCTGCACCTACCATGTTGTGCATCTCCAGTGCCTCCAGTTCCAGCCCGGGCTTTGCAGTTGGGGGGTTTGGAACGTGGAGCCGGAGCAGAGCACGTTGCTGGGAGCTCTCTCCAACAGCACTTCATCTTTATTCAGGCCCAGATGGTCGCAGCCATTCTGCTTGACAAAGCAAAACGTGGCTGCACCCTCGAGCTTTTTGTTATCCAGGACTCCAGGGTGGCTGGAGTGCAGGAACCCCAGAGGATTTAAAGGAAAAGAGCTTGTCCGAGGGTCAGAGCGGGGTTTAGCCCCGCGCTGCCTCGGTCCCAGCCGGCGGGAGGTGGGGATGGGGTTTGGGTCCCAGGGCTCTGCTCCCCCTGCTCACACCTCCCTCCTCTGTGCCCAGGAGCTGGAGTTCCTGAGGGTGGCCAAGAAGGAGAAGCTGCGGGAAGCCACCGAGGCCAAGCGCAACCTGCGGAAGGAGATCGAGCGCCTGCGGGCGGAGAACGAGAAGAAGATGAAGGAGGCGAACGAGTCGCGGGTGCGGCTGAAGCGGGAGCTGGAGCAGGCGCGGCAGATCCGCGTGTGCGACAAGGGCTGCGAGGCAGGACGGCTCCGAGCCAAGTACTCGGCCCAGGTGAGGCCCCCCGAGCTGAGACAGCCCTCCCCTGGCCCTGTCCCTGTGCCTGTGCCTGTCCCTGTCCCTGCCAGGGCGCGGCTCCACCGCCCTCCCAGGGACAGCCCAGGGGAAAGCGCGTCAGGGAAGGGCAGGACTCCCAAAAACGGGGCACAGGGACCAACTTAAACTCCTCGAGTTCAAACTCGCCCCCACGGCCCTGCCACACACGGGTCACCCTCGGCAGGCTCTGCCTCCCAGAGGACATTGAGCTGCTGCCAGAGGAGCTCTGGGAGCGGGGGGGTGCTGGGCAGGGTGTTGTCAGACACAGGAGCTCCTTGGAGCCAGTGCTGGGTCTCAGGTGGGAGCTGCAGGTATTTGGTGTGGTGGCTTTAAGGGAGGAGGGGAAGAGGAAAAGCAGAGCCCTGGCAATCAGAGGCTCTCTGATAACGGGAAGGGGAGTGGCCCCTGTGCTGCTGAGACGCGTCTGAGCAGGAGCAGGAAATGATGTGGGGCTTCCTCTCCAGCATCACAGGATGTCTCACTGATAAGGGGTGTCCAGACTAAACAGAGCCGGGAGCTGCTGCCCTGGGCGTGCCTGGCTGTTCCCAGAGCACACAACCCAGGCACCAGCAGGGCAGGTGAACCCCTGGGCTGGGCTGGGTGTGCTCCAGCTCTGTCCAGCCGGGCACTGGGGCTGCTCCAGAGCCTGTGACAACAGGGAATTTCAGTCTCCTAAAACATCCCCTCCTTGGGAAGGAATAAATGAGGTTTCCCAAGCTGAAAGGCTAAAATCACCTCAAAAAGAACTCAAGTAGCCGAATGTTCTGCAGGTTTATCTTTTCTGAAGCCAGGACTGGCAGGTTGGCAGCATCCCCTGGTGTTTGATTCCAGCCCTGTCACAGCCCCCCCGAGCCCCCCAGGCCCTCCAGCTGTGCCAGAGCTGTCTGCCCCAAGAAGTGATGGTGTAAGGAGTGACCAGAGGTCTGTTGCATTAAGGAATTCTTAGGCTGTGTCTTAACTCTGCTGGCTTTCACCTCCCTTGCTGGAGCTGGAGTCACTGGGAAGTTTCAAAGCTCAGCAGCCCCTGCAGGGAAAAAAGTACGGAAAAGGGAATTCCTTCCTTGCCTCAATCCTGATAGTCTTACCCCTGAAGTGCAGGGTTTTGTCCCTCCTCTCAGCCTGTGCAGAGCTCTGTGGTGCAGTGCAGGCTCCTGAGGCATCCCCGTTTGCTCTGCCCCCAGATCGAGGACCTGCAGGTGAAGCTGCAGCACGCCGAGGCCGACCGGGAGCAGCTCCGCGCCGACCTCCTGCACGAGCGGGAGGCCCGGGAACACTTGGAGAAGGTGGTCAAGGAACTTCAGGAACAACTGTGGCCTAAGTCGAGCAGCCAGCCCAGCAGCGAGAGCACCTCGAGCCCCATGGAGAACTGAGCCCCGAGCAGGGCAGGGCGGGAGCGGCGCCGCAGGGCGGGCGCGGGGGGTGTGAGGTGTCCTGGCACCGGCGGGAACACGGACTCGCAGCAGTTGGAAGGCAAACGTTGTTACCCTCTAGAACAGAAGCACTGAATTCTGCCTCTTTTTTGTTTTTGTTTTTTTTTCTCCTTCCCGATCCATATAGCACAACATCTTACTGTGCCTAGAAAACACAAAGTGTTTGTAAAACAAAATACTTTTAAGTCCACAGCGAGAATTTTCTACTGGCGAACTCGGAGCAAGCGTCGTCGTCCAGCTGAACCCAGAGTCCAAGGCGAGCAGGGCAGGGGGGTTGTGTTCTCCTGCCCGTTGGAACATTTTGGAATTGACAAAGCAAACCAACTTTTCTTATAAGCTATTTAAAATAATTCATTACACAGACTTGGTATTAAAAAAAAAAATTAACACGATTTTTTTATAATGAACATTTAAAAGCAAAACAAAACAAACAAAAAAACAACAAACCTTCGATGCACAATTTTTAATGACTTTATAGGCTTTGGGATTCTTTGTGCAGAAGCCCCTCTCTGGTGATGGTGCCATGTCAGGAGCAGTTTTCCAGCCATCTCGGAAGCCAGCGCGGTTCCATCCCGTCACGTGGGGGTGGGGGAAGTTCAGAGTGCTTTTCCAAGTTGATTTTTTTTTTTTCCTTAGAAAGAATTATCTTAATTTCCTGCCCTAAACACAAGAAGAAGGGAAGATGCAGGAGCGTGCAGGGGGTGGGGAAGGAGGTGGTTGTTGGACTGAGAGCCCCACGGGCCCCGCGTGTGCAGCCCACGCCAGCACCCTTGGTGTGTGCAGAGACTTCATCCAGGAGCACTTGAGCTTTGGGAAAGGGAAGAAAGAAAGGGAGGAAGGAAATGGATGATCAGTTGGTAGAGGAACAAAGCAGAGACATCTGTGTGTTGAAGTCATTCTGAAATCTTCAGCTTTCAGTTTTCTGGAAAATTCGTCTCGTTGCACCATCTCGCCGTGAGTTCAGTATTTCCCTGCCCTTGTCCCGAGCTGCCCGTTGGGATTCCCGTGCCCAGGGAGGTACAGGATTCCCGTGCCCAGGGAAGTGAAGGATTCCTGTGCCCAGGGAGGTGCAGGATTCCTGTGCCCTGGAAAGTGCAGGATTCCCGTGCCCAGGGAAGTGAAGGATTCCTGTGCCCTGGAAAGTGCAGGATTCCCGTGCCCAGGGAGGTGCAGCCTCGGACACCACAGACCACACCACCGATGGTTTTGCTGCTGTGAATAAGCCACATGGTTTTTTATTAAAAACCTTTTTGTTTTTAACAAGAAGCTCACTTTCATGTTGGGGTCCAAGCCGCAGCCCCGGGACACGACGCAGCCATCACTGCCCTGGGGGTGGTGCTGAGTTTTTTTTATTTTTTTTTTTTTATTTTTTTTTTTAAACCTGCACTTTGTCAGAATCTTACTCTCCATTTTATTCCCTGTTTCTGAAGCCAAGCATTCTAGATTCTGCCCTGAGAGCTGTGCAAACCAATGAACCCAACCTGCCAGCACTGCCACCTCCCATCAGCATCTCCACTTCACAGAGGAGGATCCAGCAGGTCCAGAACATCCCAAGCAGGAATTCACCAGACCAGGGAACTGGTTTTGTGGCTGTGTATCTGACCCAAGCTGGGGAGCAGCTGAGATGCTCCCAAAAGTGCTTAACAAATAAAGCTGGTGCTTTACTGATCAAGAGAAAAGTCATTTTCACCCCTAAACACTCACCTCTGACACACTCAAATGTGAAAATGTGATCTGGGGCTGCAGATGTGCCTTCCAGCTCATTTTTCCTCTCAGCATCTTCTCTAGGCAATGCTGACACTTTTTTACCTTAAAAGAATAAAAAGAAAAGAAATTTAAAAAAAAAGAAAAAAAAGAGAACCCACCTATGCATCATCATACCCAGAAGTTACTCTAAACAAAGGAACATATTTCCAGTAATCTTTATTTGCTTTTGGACATTAATGCAAACTATGTAAGCTTCAAAATTATTTCCCAGTAGACAGAAAGTGGCTTCCAATCCTAAAATTATGGTATTTACTTACAGTACATTAGAGAGATTTTTTTTTTTTTAAACAAGAGCTGTTTGCTTGAAACCATTATAATAACCATTATAATAACTGTGAGCATTAACAAAGAAGTTCATATATATGTTTTAGGTACAAAAAAAAAGAAGAAATATGAAAGGAGTGGAATTACTGGGACAATGTAAAACTGTTGGGAGCAAGAAACAGTCACACCAAGTCCCTGACCTGAACCTGTCTGTGGATACAGGGGTTGGCCCTTGTGTGTTTGGGAGGCTGGAGACTGGCTCTAGGTGCAGATCTCCTTCTAAAGTGCAATGCAAAAGGAATTTTGATTATGCTTGAGCAGGTTTGTTTTTTGTTTTTGTTTGTTTTTTTTTTATGTGGGGTTTTATTTTCTTTGTATGTTTTTTTTTTCTGTGATTATTAAATCATATGCATGGATTAAACTCTGCCATATAGTCATTAATGGGCATTATTACTGTCTTATGTAAAGGGGTTCTTTTGTTATGCAGTATGCAGAAAAATGTTCTCAGCCTTATGATTTCCAGAGCTGTATTATCCACTTATTTCTTCAAGGGAAACTAAACAGCTGTGTCTGTCGTTACCATTCTGTGCATCTCGAGTCCCTCGTGCTCTGCTTTGCTGCCCTGCTGGGAATTACACAGAGAACAGCCCCGGCCTCCCTCAGGGACTGAGCCCTGCCTTTGCAAATTCGGCCTGTTTGGGTTTCCCCTGATCTCTGATAGTGTCTCTCCCCTTATAATTCAAGAAAAAAAGGCAGCCTGTCCATCTCCAGGCGTTTTTCCCCAGGAAAAGTGACTCTCTTACCTGTGGTTTCCTTTCCGTGTCCAGGGGAGCTCGGTGGCTCCCTGGGCTGGAGGCTCCCACCCTCCTGAAGGAAGGGAACCTGCAGGATTTTCAGAGGAGAAACAAGAACAGTGTCACCAACAGCCAGTCACCCCAGGCAGCCTCCCCTGGGCTCAGAGGGGCAGGAAAAGGCTCCAGAACAAAATTGCAGCTGTTGGTTTCCTGTTCTGCCCCGGGTTGGTCACTCCAGGAGGGCAGTGCCTGACAGGGGGCTCACCCTGCCCCAGTTGAGGCTCCACAATATTCAGTCCTTGGGAGTGAAAAGCCATTTCCATAAATGAAGGTTTGAAATCAGTGAGATAATTAAGGGGCAAGAAAGGTGGGGACAAACATTGTCCAGCAGCAGCCAAACCCCAGGAGGGGCTCACAGGGAATGGCTTAAACTGTTGGGAATCTCCTGAACACATTTAACAGTTAAATTGTTATTTCTGCAGAGTGTGTAACGTGTTTCTAATTCAGAATAATTAGAACTGTCCCTGTGGCGGCCCCAGAGACACTGATGTGGGGAGGGGGGCTCTGCAGAGACAGCCCCTGTGTGAAGGTGCTGGAGGAGAGGGAGCTCTCTGTGTAATTTCTGAGGCTGCAGCACCTCAGTCAATCCCACTCCCATGGAATTCTTTCCCTGCTGCACTCCCAGGGCTCTCCAGCCCCGAGTGCAGGAGCTGCCACATCTCTCACTTCATCTGTGCTTTAGTTTCCTTTAAGAAGTTCAAAGGGAGAAGAGGTGTTTCATACAGGCTGTTGACTCTCCCTGTACTTACAAATATATTACTACTTGTATATTCAGTTTAATTACTCCTTGTTTCTATTACTGAACGAAGACTTAACGAAGGGAATAAAAACCAACAGCAATAACATTCATATCTATGGAGCAGCTAACTCTATACATAATATTCTGCTTTTCAAACAGAACTAGCCAATGTAAAAAAAACATTAAAAGTAAATTCAACATGTAAATACTTTTTTTCATTTTACACTGTTGTATTATAAGTGTATATGGTGTTTACTTTTTCAAAACTCTTTCTTACCTGGTAGTTGTCTTGTTTTATGAGTTGTGTTTTTAACTGAGAAGAACCTTTGCTGTCTGTTAGGAAAAAAAACAAAACAAAATCTTTTTGCAAGTTTTCAATGTGGGTTACAACCTTTCTCCATCATTTGCATTTTACTTGTCCTTATTTTCACTGTAAAGTATTTTATTACCAAAAGGTTGATTTTGTTCCATTCTGCCCTCTCAGCAGTCATGTGTTTTAGAGAGAAGTTTTTTTTGATTTTTTTTTTGTTGGCTTGGTTGTTGTTTTGTTTTTGGGTTTTTTTGTTGGGTTTTTTTTTTTTATCAAAAGAACTCACAGAAATGACATTTTTTCAATTGAAGAAAAATAAATCTTTACATTTATAATAGCCAATAGCATTTCAGCACATTTTTGTTATCCTGGTCTCTCCTATGCTGCTGCTAATGACAATATTATGACTTACTCTACTATTCTAGAACTATTTTTATGTAAGTAATGTATGCTTTCTTGTTTATAAATGCCTGATTTAAAAAAAAATAAGAAAAAAGCTTGGCATATTTATCTATTTCGCTGTGTACCTTGATAGTCCTTTTCCACCCCCTTTTCCACATCCCCTCCCCCCCAATGCAGATAATATTGTAAAATAAAGGACTTTATGAGATTATGTATGAAAATAGCTATGCTTATATACCACAGTGACTGAATGTACAGTGTATAGACGCATTACCGAAAATAAAATTGTTTGTCCAGAAAACACTGAAGGGCTCTGGGCTGTTCTTGGGGTGTCCCGGGCTCAGCCCCCCAAAGGTGCTCAGGCAGCCCCTGGTCCTGCTCAGGGAAAGAACCTTCCCCAGGTCCTGCAGGGACACTCCTGGGAGGGGACTGGAACCGAACTGGGAATCCTGCATTCCACTGCCCGGGGAAACTGGGACACTGCAGTGAAATTTCCTTGGGATAGTGAGAATTGTGAGCACAGAGGGGTTTGTTCCAGGCCAAAGAAAAAGAAATGCAAGAGGGGAAAATGCAAAAAGCAGAAGATGGAAACATATGTGAGAGTAATTCTCTCCTGGGTTTCTGAGAAGTGGCTGCAGAATTTCCACAGCCCCGGGACGGTTCTGAGATGCCCCCAAAGAGCAGTGGAAAAGCCAGAGAATGAGCAAAGGGCTTGAAAAAGAAAGCTTTACTTCTTCTTTGTGCCTCAGCCAGCCCTGCTCTCCAGGGGTGGGGGCATGTCCCAAACACAGGCCCACGTCATTCCCTTGGGAAAGGCTCCTGGGCCCCAGATCCCACCCACTGCTCCTGGGAGTTTGGGTTCTAACATTCCAAGTTCATTGACAGTTACCTCCTGCACAGCTGACACTTCTGCTCAAGGTTCCTGATGTTCTTCAGCAGCACACTCAGAGGAACTTGGTTCCACAGGCTCCATTACACAAGGAATAGATTTCCACAGGAATTCCTCTGCCCAGTGTTCCATGGGATCTCTCAGCATTTGGGACCATTGGAGGAGCTGGTGCAGGGCAGGACTTGGCCCTGAAGGAACGAGCTGGTCCTTCCCAGAGAATTCCTTCCCATGGAATTCCTGCTACAAAACAAACACCAACCCAGATTTGGGTTGGTAACAGCAGAGGCTGCAAACATCATTCTGTGCTCCATCCCCAAGGACCTCTGAGTGCAACAACACAAATTGGGAAAGCCCAGGCCAACTGTTGGGTGTTTGTGGTTAAGGGGGTAACTGGGTTTTGAAAATTACTAGTTTATTGATTTCCTAACTGAAATTATCTATTTTAAATTTTATTAACAATAATTTTATTACTATCTGCCAGAATAAGTTCAGTTTACTCAATATAACACCCAGAACACTGGGAATGAGACCCGAACCTCCTGCAAGGAAGGGACAAAGGTGTGGAAAATGCCGGGAATCAGGGAGGCAGCAGAAGCCCTGGAGTGTTCCTGGTGATCTCAGGGAGCTCCAGGCACTGCCAGGGAAGAGCAGAATCCAACCAACCCCAGCTGGGTGACGTACACGCCCCTGGAATTTTTATGAGCTGGTTTATGTGCACTCCAGCCTACCTGACTGCACTGCAAATTCCCACACACTTTTATTTGGGAGGGAACAGTTTCCACAGCTCCCTGGGCTGGGCTGAGGGAGCAGAACTGTCCTGCACAGCATCTGGGGGGTCTCTGGCTCATGGTCTGCAATTCACTTCTGTATTTGTTGAGTCAGCTCCTCGAGGTGGAACCTGGAGAGCTTCATGCTTTGAGTGCTTCCCCAGAGCCATCCTGGCCCAGCTCTCCCAGTCCTCCGGCTCCTCCACCTCCCACCCCAAGGCTCTTCCCTCTCCCTTACCTGTGACCTGCTGGAGGAAAACTGCACAGAACAAGAGGAAACCTGCAGGGCTCAAAGGAAAATGAGGTTTTCCAGCCTCAAAGGAGGTCAGATGTGCAGTGTCCCCAGTGACACTGTCCCTGCTGGGGCCTCTGTGGATCCACATCCCTGTTTGCTCATGGTCCAAGCAGGAATCACCCACCAAACCTCTCCACAGAGGCACTGGGGGCCTTTGCAGTGTCAGCAGAGGCAAAGTGTCCCTTCCCAGGCAGTGAAGCTGTTCAGAATTCCTAAACCCAGCTCCTGGATTTCAACATTGCTTTGTGAGAAGAGTGACCAGTTCCTTTAGTTACCTCTCCAACCCACGAGGGGAGTGCAGGAGCAGAGGGACTGATGAGGGGGAGGCACCAAACCCCTCCTGTTACATCTCCTTGCATGTTAACCCCCAACCCTGTGCCCCAAATTCCAGCCCCTGCCTGGCAGCAGCTCCCAGGGCAGGATTGCCCTGCAGTGCCAAGGGATTCATCACACAGGGCAGTTTTAAGCAGTGGAGCTTTCCTAGTCCTGGCTCTGCAGTGTGCAGTTCCCCCTGCAACCCTCTGCACGGAAAAACCGGGATGGGATTCCGGCTCCACCAAGGAAAGGACGTGGGATGGGATGTGAGGTCGTGAGCAGACACGGGGATCCCACCTGGGCCTGGGGCTGTTGGATAAAAGGTTCCCTGTGGGAATTTCTGAACTCCTCGTGCCCACCCCAGTCCTGCTGCTGTCGGTGGATTCCCAGGAAGTGTCCAGGGAGCAGCAGCTCCCGCTGCCCTGCCCAGCCCGGGGCACAGCACACACAGCCCCTGTGCCCAGCCCGGGAGCCCACACTGCTCCATTCCCGGGGCACACACCCCTGGGGGAGGCACCGATTCCCTCCCTGCACTCCCTCCTTCCCTCCCATCCCTCTTCCCACATGAGCAGCCCGTGGCTCAGGCCCTGCTGGTGATGGATCCCTTGTAATTGCTCTGAATGGATTATCCCAGCCATGGAGAGGCATTCCCAGTGCACAGCTGGAATCAGGAGCACTCACACCCGGGGAAGGACTCGAGCAAGAGGCAGCTGGCTCTGGCCCCTGCCTTGTCTCTCTGCTCTTGTATTAAGCCTAACTCGATTTATTTATATTTTTAATACAATAATATCTAGGACAGCCACTGAAATCAGGGTCCAGATGGGCTCAGTGCCATCCCAACCCCCAGAACCAAACTGTGCCTCTGACAGCAAACAGCACAACTCAGGACTCAAGAGGATTGACCTCCCACCCTGCTCAGACCTTGCATTTAGCCAAGTAAGAATCCACCCCTTTCAGTGGGTAACAGTACCCAAAAACTGGGAAATCAATCCATGCATATTCTGGTAATTACTGGCTAAAAGACATCAGATGAAACGTTTCTCTCCTTACCTTACTGCTGCCTTCCTCCCTCTGCCAGCAGTTTGTTTACCAGGATCCCAGTGACACTCTAATTTGTATGGCTGGGGGGAGAAAAAACATGAATAAATAAGTGTGAGACAGATTGTTACACAGGAACAAAATCCAGCAACTGGATCTGCTGTACATTAATTTTGTGCAATTTTCTGTAGCAGCCCAGTACCGAGGGGCAGCAGATTCACATCCACGGGGCTTAAACTGGAAATGGGATCAACATCAAAGAGTTTTGCCCTGCAAACTTTCATTGGGGTAACATAAGGAATAAAGGGAAACAGCAGTGCCCTGACAGGACCCAGCAGGGCAAAGCTGACCCTGTTCCATGTTTTCTGCCAGGTCTCAGTCACTGGGGTTTCCTTCTTCAACACCAGTTTTCCTCTAGGATTCCTACACTATACACAGCAGCCTGTGGGCAGGGGAGAGGGGACAGTGGATTTGGGAGCCACAGTGACACCCTGGGCTCGTGCAGCTGGGAGATAACGTGCTGTGCAGGTCACTGGCTCTTAAGCACTGTGTTATCTGCCTGTAACACACACCTTGTTGTGTCTCACTGCTTAATTACAGCTGATACACAGGCCATAATATCGCTTATCGTTAGCCAGAGGATGACAATTACAATTTAAGATTAAACTGCTTCCTTTTTTCCTTCAGCCAAGTCTCTGTGACACTTCCCTGCCCAAGAAAAGACTTGCACATGCAGAACAAATCCACATGTTAATTGGTGATGTGGCCTCACAAGGATGTGTCATTTTGGGAGCACAAACTGCACGTGAACACCACGAGCACTGACAGAGCCCTGAACCTGCAGGGCCAGCAGGGCAGGCCTGGGGAGCCCCAAGGCAGCACTAAAACAGTGAAATCCCAGGATGTGCAGGTTCCAGCCTGGGCATTGCCCAGAGCAGTGTCTCAGCCTGCAGCCAGCCCAGTCCTCCCCTTCAGCCACCCCTTCTCCAGTCACCCTCCACTCCCTCAGCCTCACCCCTCCATCCCTGTCCCTGGCTCTGGAAGGGCTGTCCCAGTGCTCTGGGTGACCCGGGCAGAGCACCCACCCTGCCCCTGCCCCTCTCCTGCACTGCTGCAGAAACAGGGCTCTGGCTCACACTTGATGTGAAAAAAAGGTTTCCTGGAATTTCTGAGGGCTTTTGTCAAGAGCCTCTGTCAGGGCTCCTGTTTCAGAAATGGACACAGCTGACAGAGATCCCAGAGCTGGAAGCAGTTTGGACTATTAAAGGATCAGCAAAAAACGCTGAGTCTGCACCAGCTGAACTGTCATTAAGTAGCTTCTCCCTCCCCACAGAACAGGGCTGTGTTACTGTGCACAAACACCACGAGCACACAGAGACTGCTGGAAAATATTCTGCACTAAAACCCACAGAGGCCTGAGAGCAGGTTTAACTACTGATCACCACCAATAAAGCTTAAAGACTGAACAGGGACTGCATTTCTGCACCTCTGCTGAGCATCTGAGATGCCCCCAGAGCAAAGCCTTTCCCTGCTGAACACAACTGTGATCACACAGGGTTGGGATGCCTCGGGATGTCAGAGGGCAATGGTTTAAATCTTGTGCCCTGTATTTTGTCAACTCCCATTTATCCCACCCAGCACAGGGGTATGACACATAAATCTTCCAAAAATGTCTTCTGATCTTTCACCTACAGTAGATTAAAAATAGCCCCGAGCAAGAGCTTTTAGCATTTTGTCATAGCAATTTCTCCATCAAATAAGATAAATCACCAGCTCCATGGGGAAGGAATGAACCCACCCAGAGACCTGATAATGAAAGAGGCTGAGTTCCACCTCCAAGAAGCAGGAGCTGTGCTCCTGCTGGAAATCCCCACTGAGCTCATGTTGCAGCCCAGGACACGTCAGGCTTTTCTTTCCTCCCTGCACACCTTCCATTCAAGCCTCAGAACAGCTCTGGGAGCCCAAGCGAAAGTCTCAAGCCCTGTTTTGGGTTTTGCAGTCCTCTAACATGGCTTTGGGCAGAATGCCCATTGCCATTTTCGTTGAGACAACAACATTAAATGAAAGATGAGCAAACAAAGGAAAACTTGCTCATCACGATTATACTGAAAGATATCTGTGATTTCTGTCACTCATCTTTTGCTATATTGTTGGTTATTCACATTTGGGTAGAACTTGGAGGATGGAAGGGAGTGTGAGGTTCAGCCCCAGCCCCAAGTGGTTTGTGACACACCAGGGATGCCAAGGGAAGAGAAGGGCATTAGGAGGGACTGACCCCTCCACCCCACACAAGTAGGTTATGGGAACACAGCACATCCCCCAGAGCCCTTCCAGCACTGGAACAGGCAGCATTCCCCCTTTCCTTCCAGCTGCCAGTCACCACAAGCCCATCTTATCTGTATCCTCAGGATAAATCCCGGATGCATTAGGGACCAAAGGGCTCTGACACTTCCAGCTCCTGCTCACTCAAATCCAGGCACAGAGGGGGACTCCTCCTGCCTCTGCTCGTGGAGGGAGAGACCTGGGAGGATCTGGGAGAGATCTGTGCAGGATCTCCCGTCCCTCCCACGAGGATCCAGTGGATCTCAATAAGAGGCCCAACATTCTGCCTGTCCCTCTGTCCCTGCCCTCAGCCCCACACCCCGTTTCCAGGTTATAAGCAGTTTATATGGAGGCAATGAACTATTCTCAGGCGTTATAAACGTTTTACAGGTCGGGGCACAACACAATCATTTACCAGAGCAGCTTTTAATCATTGACCAGCTGGGGCTGAATGGGACTGGGTGTGACCCCAAGGCCTGGCATCGTGGCTGCCCCACTGGAGACTGGCCCAGGGATCCCACAGTCCAAGGATTAACCACACACCCAAGGGCAGGGACAGACAAGGTTCCCAGCCAGGAGCTATGGCAGGCTGGAGTCACAGAATCACAGTCAGCACAGGGATGTTCACTCAACCTCCTGATTTCATGACCCAAATGTCTCAGATCTGACTGTTCATTATCTCCAGTTCCAGTGATGGAAGCAATGGGATGTTAAACATTGGTAGGGATATCAGGGATCACACCAAAGCTCCTGGTATGGTGCTGCAATCTTCAAGTCCCCTGAATTTCAGGCATCCTGGTGCTTTTCTTGAACACCCAGGAGTGTTTCCTGCCCTCTCTGGAAGGATACAAAGGAACAGCTTTATTTCCTTGGCACTTTTAGTGGGATGAGTAAGAAAGTCCTAGGTGAGCTCAAACTGCTGAATGTCCTGGTATTTTCAGACAGCTCAAATGCTTCTACAACACAAGAACATTATGGAATACAAAACATCTCTTTACTGTAAAACTGACACTATTTTGCCCTGGCAACAACCTGCCCATTGATGGAGTTTTTCCATGGATTTCTTTTCCCCTCAGCATGAATTCCAATCCTGTGCCCTTATGCCATATTTCAATTATCCATTACACAAGTGATCTTCCTGCGTTAAATCTGATTTAGGAGGAGTTCACAACACGGGGCATCTGCACAAGAGCCCTCCCTGCAGCAAACCCTCTTCCCCTGCCAGCGTTTCCCAAGCTTCAGGACTCCTCGGGATTTGCTCTCCCATCTCTCCCCTTAGCAGGTGGGTGTTTTCCTCATGGAGCTGTGCAGCAGCAGAGCCCATTTCCACTCTGACCATCTTCTGTCCTGCAGAGTCATACTTAGGTGATAAATCAGCCACCCTCCAGCCCTGATCCTTGAGCTGACAGAGCCCAAGGGTTGCTGCACACCCGCTGAAGGGACTGTTCTCTCACCCAAGCACGTGCTGGAACACTTCCCTGAGTGGAGAGCATGACCCCTGGGCAGGCTGGCCCTCAGGGTAACCCTGGAGGTACCACAAGTGTCTGGGCTGTGTTTGTGCAGCCTGATAAGCTCTAATCTGATCGAGACTTCCCCCCACGGGCTGCCTGCGTCAGCCAGGGGATATTCCAAGGGTGCTGCTTATCTGGCTGAGCACAAATGGAAACTCATTCAGGGAACTCAGAGATAAAGCTGGGGAGGGACACAGGAGCTGAGGTTATCACAGACACAGGCAGGCCTGGAAAGCCCCACCTCGTCATTAGAGGGGCAATTAGAAGATAAAGTCATGATAGACCTTCAGAAGTTGGACAGGTGTCTCATTCCAGTTTGAGCCACTGGATGTAAAGCACTGATGAGTCCTCAGAAATCTGGGTCCCAATGGCACTGATTTCAAAGTGCAATCAAATTTATATTATGCTCTTCTAAGAAATTGTTCCCATTCATTCTTCATGAGTCGTTGGAACAAATGAATCTGCAAATTTAGGTTATAAAGTGAAGAACCATGAAGGAAGCACAACCCATATTTCACATTGTGATGGAACACCAGTTCCCAGAAGGATCCCAGCACCAAAAATGAGCCCTTCAGTTTGGGGTGGGACAACAATTAGGGCACCTTTGTTCACTCCCCATACAGTGAACACTCCTGTCCCTCTCCAGCAGACTCAGTGACTGCCATGGGGACCCACTGCCTCCAAAAACGTCTCTCTAAGTTAAGCCACTGCTGACTAGCAATGAAACTTCAAACAAAAATATTTCCCTTCTCAAGACACGCCAGGGCTAAAGGAAATCTAAACCAACTCTTTCTTCTTCCTGTATCTTGAGAACTCCTCTGCAGCAGAGCCCCAGCCCCGCAGGAGGGGCTGTGTGAGACCCAGCCCAGGGCACTTTCATTTCCCCAGCACTCAAACGCTCCATTCCCTCCCTCCCAGCAGAGCTGGGCTCGGCCCAGCCCCTCTCTCAGTTCTCAGAGGGTTTGTTTCCCACAGCTGCTCTTCGGCCAAGCTGTGAATGAACCTGAAAATTCATTTGAAAGCCCCTCTCTGGTTTCTCGTGCTTTCACAGTCACAGAACAGCTCCTTCCTCAACACTTGCACCCCTGCAGGGAATTCCCCCGGCCCAGGGGGAGTCACCAGGAAGGCTGGGAGACCCTGAGAAGGGTTTCATCTCCAATGAGGTACAGGGTTAAGGTTCTACCAGAACCCAGCACAGACTCAGCCCCCAAGTTCACACCCCAGAACCCCAAGAGGAGCTCTCATTTTTA